AGGCACCCAACACCACACTCGGTTAATTTTTCTATTTTTAGTAGAGACACCATGTTGGCCAGGCTGGTCTCAAACTCCTGACCTTGTGATCTCCCCATCTCGGCCTCCCAAAGTGCTGGGATTACAGGCGTGAGCCACTGCGCCCGACACTTACATTTAATTTCTAAAGTTAGGGCATCTAACTGCTTTTTTATTTTCCAGAAATTCTTCAAAATTCTTGGTTCAGTAACTCGTTTTTATTTTTTCAAGCTGGTCTGAATTTATCCAACTCTTTTCTGTCGTTTCAAAGTATAATCCCATGATCTCACATTAGTACTATGAGACCAGCAAGTATACAGGGAGGAGCAATGAGACCCGAAATCTTGTTTTGACTCTGCCAGTACAGGTTGCAGACCCTTAATCCGAAAATCCAAAACCCTCCAAAATCCAAAAGTTTCTGAGCAACAACATGACACTCAAAGGAAATGCTCATGGAGTTTTCCAATTTCTGATTTTTTGATTTGAGATGCTCAATCGGTAAGAACATAATGCAGATATTACAACACCTCAAAATATCCAAAATCCTAAACATTTCTGGTCCCAGAATTTCAAATAAGGGATATTCAACATAATTATCGTAAAAGTCTCTTAAACACCCTAACATGGCAACGCACATAGATTAATGAAGACCAAAGATCCTACACCCGAAGATATTATTATTTTGGGCTGTTGAACAAGCATAATGATACAGCCTTCTGACGCCGCCCCCAATTTCACTCTAAATTTAGGAGCAAAAGCTGGAATCATTAAAATGTTATTTTAAATGAAAACAATCTCCCTAAAAACTGGCACACACTTTTAAGATATCTTAAGATAGAAGACGTCAAAGAAAAATTCCCTGCTTTCAGTGGCTGCTTCAGGCCTTGTCAAGATTCCAGATGCCAGCCAGGCACGGTGGCTCATGCCTGTAATCCCAGCACTTTGGGAGGCCAAGGTGGGCAGATCACTTGAGGTTAGGAGTTCGAGATTGGCCTGGCCACTATGGTGAAACTGTGTCTCCACTACACGCCTGTAATCCCAGCACTTTGGGAGGCCGAGGCAGGCAGATCATGAGGTCAAGAGATGGAGGCCATCCTAGTCAACATGATGAAACCCTCGTCTCTACTAGAAATACAAAAATTAGTTGGGCATGGTGGTGCCCACCTGTAGTTCCAGCTACTTGGGAGACTGAGGCAGGAGAATTGTTTGAACCCAGGAGGTGGAGGTTGCAGTTGAGCCGAGATGATGCTAGAGTACTCCAGCCTGGGCAACAGAGCGAGACTCGGTCTCAAACAAACAAACCAACAAACAAACAGATTCCAGATGCCCCTGGAGTCATGCACTCATTCTCCCCTGTGGTTAGGATACTTCTGCAGAAAAACTGGAGAAACACTGTACTCTAAGCCAGCAGTCCCCAACCTTTTTGGTACCAGGGAGAATCTCACAAAGAGTGCACAAGCTTGCACGGGCAGTTCACAATAGGGTTTGAGCTCCTAGGAGAAGCTAACACCAAGGCACATCTCACAGGAGGCAGACCTCAGACGGTAATGCCCAATCGCCTGCCCACTGCTCACCTCCTGCTGTGCAGGCCAGTTCCCAACAGGCCACGGACCCATACCAGTCCCTGGGCTGGGGGTTGGGGGGCCCCTGCTCCAAGCCAGAGTAACACTGAAGTAACTTAGCTACAGCCCATTGTTTTCACTGCAGTAGACAGACAACTCTATGTTTAACATTAGTTGGGGACATAAAATTAACAAAGCTCAAATTTTAATACTATAAAAAGAGACCAACTGGGAGATTCCTGGAAAGTCTAGGGCTGCTGGGAAAGATTTTGGAGGGTCTCCTCAGAAAGCTTCTATTTCCCCCAGTTCCTCGCCAACCAGCAAGTGGTTCTTATCTCAGCATTTATCAAAATGTGGTGCAAGAGATTTGTTTTAAAAGGGCACAAAAGTTCTAACCATAAAAAGAAAATTAATAAATTGGTCTTTATATACTAGTCACAATAAGACACCATTAAAAGTAAAAAGTCCAGATATCTGAAATACATATATTTGACAAAGAAGTATCTCCAAATTACGTAAAGAACTACTACAAACTAGTAAGAAAAAGCCATAATCCAATTAAAAATGGGAAAAAAGGCTGGGCGTAGTACACCTATAATTCCAGCACTGTGGGAGGCCAAGGCAGGAGGATCAATTGAGCTCAGGAGTTCAAGACCAACCTGAGCAACATGCTGAAACCCCATGTCTATTTAAAAAAAAAGAAGAAGAAGAACAATGCAGGGTAACTTTTAAAATGCATTATTTTGGGGATCCAAAAATCCTAGGAATATTAAATCTCAGTAAAGCTGTCTTTATTTTTTTTTTTTTTTTAAGGTGACTGAAAAATAAATTCCTGGAGTACTAAAGACTACCAACCTTCATTTTTTAGACTACTCTGGTTTGACTTTCCTGTACACTTAAGTTCAAAAACCCTACTTTAGACTGTACCTACAGATGGTCCATTCCCTCCTTCCAGTTAATTTTCACACTAGTTTTAGGACTAACGATTACTATTAGGTGCTCCAAAATATCTGAAAACCCTGGTAAATAGTCATGATTGAACATGATTGATACAGAATATTTCTTTCAACCATCCAGAATATATGGATGACAAGTCATTTTGTTCCATCCTCCCACAGGGGAAGAAAAAAAAAGAGTAAAAGATAATACAATAGCATTTCCAGCTGCTTCCTCCTCATGGCCCTACAATGCATTAATCAAATGATTTAATTTTTAATCATAAGACAGTGGGCCAGGTGCCATGGCTCACACCTGAAATCCCAGCATTTTGGAAGGCAGAAGCAGGAGAATCACTTGAACGCAGGAGTTCAAGACCAGCCTGGGCAACATAGTAAGACCGCCATCTCTACTATACATATTAAAAAATTTAATAATAACAAATTAATAAAAATCCTACATCTAGCAATATTATCTTGAATAAATAATTCAGGCCAGATGCAGTGGCTCA